ATTAATGCATATATATTTAATATAATAATACATATATATATTAATTACTTTAATGCATATATATTTAAAATTTTGTTGTCTTACGTTTATTACAGCTGAATAATTAACTTTTGGTAGGAAGAGGTCCATAATTTATAATATTTACTTCGTATTGAATAAATTTCCCCAAGACCCACATTAAAACACATTCATTGAATTCATCAAACCTCTTCTATTTCTCCATTTTTACACTCACGACTCATTTTAACGGTAACCACTGAACATTATTTCAGACATCGATATACAGGACGTATCGTTAATGTTGCGACAAACTTCTAGGGGAGGTAGGGCGCATCGTAATAAATATCCATGCCCGGAAATGTCAGGGGTAAGTGGTAGCAGAGGTAGAAGATGGGAAAAGAAACAAGAGTGATTAATCTGAAACATTTATTGGTCATGAATACAGATGGTGTACACGACAGCCTGCTCGAAGCTTGCAACAGTTGCTCGAAGTTTTCACCATCAGACGCCAAACATGCCTGATACCGACGGACCATTGATGGCCGGACATGTTCAAACACACCGGGAGTTTCTTTGATTGTAGCAGCTGTGTAAGCGAGTCTTGCCACGAGAGCCATTTCAGACACAACAGAATCGTGATAGGGAATACTTTTGATGGCTTCCCGAAAAAAGAAATCAAGGCTCGATAAATCCAGTGAGAGTGGGGGCCAGAGAACCGGTCCACCACGCCCAATCCATCGATGCGGGAATGATCGGTTCAAATGGCTACGAACATCCAGTCCAAAATGAGCAGGGGCCTCATCATGTTGGAATCACACGTTGCGCCTTACATTTTGTGGAAAGCAAATCGAGAAGAACCTGCTCCAGAAAGATCAAATAATTCGTGGCATTCAAATGGTTAGGCGTGTTTGGCATCTGAGGGTGCAAACTTCTAGCATCTGTTGTAAAATTCAAGCTGTCGTACACCATTTGTATTCACTTAATTCAATAAATGTTTCAAATTAATCACTCTTGCTTCTTTTCCCATCTTCTACCTCTGCTACCACTTACCCCTGACATTTCTGGATATAGGTTCCTATGCAAATCTTAATCCTTATGATGCGCCCTACCTCCCCTAGAAGTTTGTCGTAACATTTACGGTACACCCTGTATATCTACATTATAACTAATTTTTTCTGCAAGTTGTAATTTCATATATTCAAAAAGCACATTGAAGTTTTGATTATTCTCTGTGTTCTAGAAAATCGCCTCAGTTGAGAACATACCATTAAGATTTGCGATTTTAGTAGATTTACATGCATTAACAAGGTCAATGTTGCTTCCTTTTTGCAAGGTTCGTGTCAAGCCATGTTGCATTCGCATGTGGTCTAACAGATACCTTTTTCTTTTAGCATTCGTGAACACTGGGCATAATTTCTAAGATGAGAAGTATTATGTTATTTCAAAGCAACATCCATAGTAAATCTCTTTGGACTATATTAAAACAAAAATCATAAGATTTCACGTGTTTCTTCAATTTTTTTTTTTTTTTTTTTTTTTAATCCAAAGGGATTTCAGTCCCGAAGGACTATTGCTTTCGTTTTGGCATTTTGCGTCGGACTCATAAACGTCGGTTCACTTTTCAAACTGTTGCCACAAAATGTTAGGTCCTGCATTATATTTGAAGAAATTAAATAATGAAAATCTGCATAAATATTGTCTATTTTCTCGCATTGTGATAAACAATGGTCATAAGCCTCGAATTTTGAATGACGAAATCCTACTGCGAATATGGGCATCTGAAATCCCAAATTGGAATTTGTTTTATTATAGATTTTATATTTTGTAAAACTTTAACGAATTTTTGATTTACAAACTCAATGCTTTAAAAGCGAGAAATGGCAACGTATATATAAAGAAAAAAATACTTTTATCTCCAGCTAGCGAGACTGTGTATATCGGAAATTCTAAAGATATGCTTAATTTAACATTATTTTGCGATATTGCTCTTGAACTGAATTTTATGGTTTAAGTGCAAAGAACATGATATTTAATAAATAAAGGTAACACTCAAAACGTTAAAAAAACGTCCCTTTGGACGTAATTTAAAATCTGAAAAATTTCAGATTTTTTTTTTTTACTTGAAAAAATATCCGAACATTGTTTACACCTACCAACATGTAAAGTTTCATGCTGCTTTAAATGATCAAGCTCGCTAAATATTTTTGAGCTAATATATTTGTCTTTCAAACTGAATCTGTTTGTTGTGGATTAACAAACTAAGCTGTTTGAAAACTTAAGAGTATTCGATTCTTCTTTTGAATTGGGTATATTTAAATAATAAAAATGCATTTTTAATTCACCATCTGCCTAATTAAAAATATTCGATATTTTCATATAATGATGTTATATATTATTATTACTTATTTCATATTTTGTAAAACTTTAAGGAATTTTTGTCTGACAGTTCAACGATTTGAAGCGAGCAGTGGCAAAACTTTACGGAGCAAAACATTTTTAACTCCAGTGCACGAGACTGTCTATCGGAAGTTACTAGTCACGATTTTGTCGTTGAATGGAATTTTAATGTGGCGTAAGTTAGAAGAACATGGTACTTCATAAAGTTAGCACAAAAAATTTTAATAATAAAAATACAATAAATAAATAAATTAAAAAATGATGGCTCTAGGTACTGTTGCTTTATAACAATGCGAGAAACATACATGCATTTATGCAAATTTTTCATTATTTAATTTCTTTAAATATAACACAGGGCCATATTATCTGGTAGCAACAATTTGAAAAGAGAGCCGACATTTACAATGAATCAAAGCAAAATGGCAAAACGAAATTAATAGCCCTTTGGGCTAAAAGGTTCAGTAAGCAATCTTACTCAGAAAACTGAGCATTGATACGATGAAATGAGAAAAGAGTGAAAAAAAATTTAAAATGTTTACTCCAACACTTTATACTGCATTGGGAATTCGTAACATATGCTGTAGTGCAGCTTTTAAAAATTTTGTGATTTTGTTGAGCTGTGTGTGGTGTAAGAGGGAAGAAAATAAATAATAAATAAACAATGCTTAATAATAAAGCTAAAATTTAAAAAATCTGATGTGTACACCACATGACTTCCTTGTACGGAATATTAAATTATACGCATTTTTCTTGCATTTCATTTAAACATATTGATTTGAATTAAATCTACTTCGCTGACAGCGCATAAACCACAATAGAATAAATGCATTCTTTAAAATTCACTCTAGTATTTGTTTACCATAGCGACACTCTGGCGCTAGATTCACTTAACAGTATTAATAATTATATAACAGTTAACTTATATAATAATTATATAACGGAAACTAAGTTAACTGTTATATAATCCAATAATTATATAACAGTAACTCATATACTTTCGTTCATATTATAACTCATAAAGCACAAAATTTATATCATTTAAAGAACAGAATTATCTAATCGTTGCCACATGTTCTATTCAAATACTATAATAAAGCTAGAATGATGTATAAAAGAAATTAAGCAAACAAAACAAAAAAAACAGTTTTTCACAGACATTGAGTATTTCTCATTTAATTTAATTCAGTTCTCACTTCGCGAGAAGGCAAAAATACATAAAAACTCAAAATATCTATATTAAAAATTACGAAAACGCTTATTTCCTCGAAAAAATTCCAGAAAGGATTAAGCATGATTTATTGGCAATAATAAATGAAGGCGTTATCTTTGTTGTTGCGAAGCTAAGTTTCTCTAGATTGGCAACAAATCCACTATCCTGCTGTTTCAAATGTAAGCAATCAATGGCCGCCATATAAAAAAAAAGGCTTAGCGGCACTTAAACAACTTTAAAATTGTTGATAATTCTAAAAATATTGCATACAGATTTACTAAAGGCATAAAAACCTTAACCGGAAGATAAAAACAACATAATTCAATCATTTCTGAAGCAAAAAATGTACAATTTACAAACATATAAGAGTAAAGAAATTGAGATCACTAAGCTGGGTAACAGAGTGGATATATATATAAATAATATTATATACGTTTGGTGGCGCCGATTGCAACCAAAATACGAGGTGCACATCTACATGTTATAGCAGTCCTATATACAAAATTTCAACGTTCTGAGGCTACTCGTTTTTGAGTTATGCGAGATACGTACGTACGTACGTACGCACGCACGTGCGTACATACGTCCGTACAGACGCCACAAAAAATTCTCTTCAGAATTCATCTTAAAGCAGTTTTATAATTTTTTTGGAGGAAACGAGTCTTTTATTCTCTCCTTACGTACAGATATCACGCAAAAACATCGTGCAATTGCATTCGATAGCAGTCAAAATGGATATTTTCGTTGAAATATGCTGTCTGAAACTTTTCGCGATTACAATACTTCCTTTTTACTTCATACAAGGAAGTAAAAAGAGTTAGCAGTAGTGAGTGCAATAGCGGACTGCTAGAGATTGTGAACCCACCGACAGCGCAAAAAACCTTAACAAACTCTTTTGGGCAAGCGTTAAAATCTGAAAACTGGTCAAGTTTATTATTATTTTTTTATATATGTATATATACGTATATGTTTACTTCTTTTATTTAAATTTTTGAATAAACTAGAGATCTGAAATCAACTGGAGTCGTATAAGATTTCAGGACATCTTTGAAAACTTTTCAGGCATTTGGATAGGGATTTTTAATATTCATGCCATAAAATACTACACATGATATTATTTACGTGCACGAAACGAGCTTTGTACGTTCCTCCTCCTTTACACGGACACAATGACGAGCGCTAAGCGAATCCAAGCACGTCGGGTGGAGCAAGTTCAGCTGTGGTCAACCTACGTTGTTATTTTTTAATCGCTCTTTGACATTATCAATGTCAACCACACACAGGAAGAAGTAGTGGGAAGAGGAAAGATACCATAATCTGCGCTATCGCTGTGTTTAACATTAGAACAAATATTTACACACATAATGCTGGCCATCGAGGAAAGTCATTCTTCTCATTATTCTGTAAGTTGAACAGAAACTGAAATTTCCTTCAGCTGACTAATCAATAATACTTAATTGTTTTAATTTTTCTATGGTAGTAGGAACGGAAGGAGATACTCAGCTGGGAAGAATGTTATCAGTCTTTTCTGCTAATGCCCAAAGTGTCAAGATTGGGTGAACTTTCTAAGGTTAGAGGTCGAAAGCGATAAGAAAACGGCTGATCGTTGAATTTGTACTATATGCTCTGACGTGGACTAAACTGAGTTGGATGCGTCCCGAACAGTTTCGATTGTATTAAAATTCCCATCTACAATGCAAGGATTTAAAATCTTGCTGCTTTTTGCCGTCTACGGTAAGTACATTATTTTCCTCTTCATTAACAATGTAATTTCAAAACGAATCGAATGTTTTAACTTTCTTACGAAATTATTGAAAGTAAGCTCTCAAGTAAGCCAGTTAGATAAGTCTCACTGTAGCTGGTGACTATCAAAGTTATCAATTTTACTAAGTGAGGATATACAAATTAAAAATTAAATGATCCTCTCTGGATATTTCCAAAAAGTGTTTGTGAGCTGAGCTTAAACAATAAAACGCATATACTTGCAATATTATGTGTATGTTTGCGGTGTGTATGTACGTTTATACGTGTATATTACATTACACACAGAGTCCACAAAAGCTGTAATCCCGCCTTTGTTTTCGCGACTATTGGTGATTAATTACAAAAAATGTTTGATATGACCTATGACCTAGCATTTCTACGTTAAAAAGTCTGATGTGGCTATTGCATGACTTTGTACGCCTATTAAATCATACACATTTTTTGATGCACTTCATTTAAACTTATTTCCTAGAATTATTCTAGTTTACTTAACCGATCGCTCGGGGCAAGTTAAAAATGACATAAAAAATCCCAAATTTTCAAATTAAACATTCCGTTCAATATTTGTCTTACGAGAGTCCTTCTTGTATTTTTATTTTTCACAACCAGTATAAAACTTTTCCAAATATAAGCATAGAAGCCGAGAGACAGTATTAAAAGTTAGATTTCGTTATTTGGCCCAAATTATTTTTTTAAAATTGACGTTGCCAAAACATGAATATTTTCGTCATTTAAAACACTTAAGTATATGACTACTACAACGATTGCGAAAATAAAGGCCGGGTGCAGGGGGTGCAGTGGCGTAGTTAGGGTGGGGCAAGGGGGGACATCTGTCCCTGGGCGCAGCATCCAGGGGACACAAAATTGATGTTAAGAAATTTTAAAATGAAATGTTTTCCATTCTTGGCACACAGAAAGGGACAGAAAATCTTCAGTTGTCCCCGGGCGCTGAAAACCCTAGCTACGCCTTTGATGTGTATATATATGTATATATGTCAAAAGTATGTACATACTACCGATGGCGATAAAAAAAGAGACGTGCAGAGTTAGATGTTACAGCGGTCTCATATGCAAAATTTCAACGTTCCACGGTTAATAATTTGTAATTATGCGAGACACATACGTACGTATGTACGTAAAGACGTCTCGAAAAAAAAATCCATTCTTAAACTTATTTGAATCCATTTCGGAATCCGTTTTGCAATAAAGGGTTCTTTATTTTGTCTGTATGTAGAGACATCACGCACAAAATAATTCAAGCTTCGGGAACAGTCAAAAGGGATATTTCCGTTGAAATATGAAATCCGAAATTTTTAGCAATTAGAATAATTCCTTTACATCCCATGAGGAAGTAAAAAAAAAAGGAAAAATTAACGAGATCTGACCTTTTTATTCTCCCCCCTTCCTGTTCAGAAAAATTTCGTATTTATTACAAAGAATGGATAGTCAAAAAGTGTGGCACTTATCGAACAAAAATTGATCCAGATATTTAATTTCAAAATTTCGAATATTTGACATGAACCTGCCTCGAGGAGCTGTTTAATAAATAAATTGCAGTAATTCGAGGTTGATTTGTCTGCGAAGTAAAGGAAGTTTTGCAATCCCGAAAATTTCTGGATATCATATTTCAGCGAAAATATCCATTCTGACCGCTATCAAATGCAATTGAACGATATTTTTGCCTGACATCTGTACGAAAGGACAGAATAAAGAGGTCCTTTTTCCCAAAACGAATTATAAAACTGATTTAAAATGGAATCAGAAGAGATTTTTTTTCGAGGTGTCTGTACATACATACATATGTATCTCGCACAACTCAAAAACGAATAGCCTCGGAATGTTGCAATTTTTTATTTAGGACTGCTGTTTTGGTTCCAATCGGCCGCACCAAAAGTAAATAATATATATATATATATATATATATATATATGTTGTATATATATATATATATATATGTTGTATGAAATAAATCCATTTAGTGCGAATACAAATAATTCTATTTATTAACTTAGTTGTTTACCTTAAACTTAGTTGTTTTACTTTATTAAACTTAGTTACCAACTACTTTATTAAATAATTCTACTTTAATTAAACTTAGGAGATAATATAATCAATTAATCAATACTGTTTAGGAAATAACTTATATATATATATAAATATATATAATATATATAACATTATATACATTATATATAATTATATATATATATGTTGTATGAACTTAATCCATTTAGTGCGAATACAAGTTATTATTACTTGCGCAATTGCTGCAAAGTTAGTTAATAATAAATTATTTCCTAAACAGTATTGATTAATTGATTATATTATCTCCTAAGTTTAATTAAAGTAGAATTATTTTAAAAGTGTGATCCATACTGGTAAGTTATATTTTGAAAGATGTTTTGAAGTAATTTGAAAGCAAAATGTTAATAATGTTTTAACGGGGACTGGAGTTAAATCATCACGAAGAATAATAATTACAATTGTAAAAAGGAAAAATTAAAACATGTAATCATTGTCATTGATCGGAAATTAGTTGACTTTTCAAGGGGAACAAACCAACTCCCGTTCAATGAACAATAATTGATAAAAAAATACGTAAATATGAAAGTGTTTCGTCTTTACTCGAGTTATAAGTTAAAGCCAAACCGGCAATTCTAGTCAGGCCAAATATTTCGCGATTTCGCGAATATGTTGCTACTCAAAGAACTTATTCTCATGAAGCATTTTAGTCAATTCAATTTGGAGTAAAAATCAATTACTGTAGAGAAATCCTGTAAAACTCGAGTAACCGTCCCCGACACTATCATCTTTATGTATTTGAGTACTATATTATTTGTAGAAATTAAACATTAAAACATTGGAAATTGTCATTATGAATCGAAATCAAAGTAAAGTTGAAATAAACAATAGAAGATTATAAAAAGATAAATAATGCAAACTTTGTAAAAACAAATCAAAGAAACATAAAAATAATAAATAAAATAATATAAATAAGAACAGTGAATGTACATGAAGATATAAAGGCCAGAAAAGGTATTAAGTAACTTACATTCTTTCTAGTGGGGGAGTTGGCAAAGTGTTCTCTTCGTGTCTGACTCAGAAGTGTAGGGTGTCCGAAAATTCTTAGCGGCAGTAGGGGGCTTTGAATAATATCAGTCGGTAAGACTTGGGTGAAGTAATTTATGGTAGTGGGTGGGACTCGGAATTCTTGAGGGATGTATTTTGTGGAGTTCTTATCTTGAGAGAGAACCGTCTGTTAAGATTTTTTTGAAAAATACTAGTGAATGGAAATTAATTAATTTCTGGCTAATTGTCGTGTCGCAATGATTAAGAATTTAAGAAAGGAAAAAGGTAATTTTCGCTGTCCAAGAGCTAGTAGACAGTCTAAAGGCAGGAAATAGGCCCATTTTTTTAGTAACAGTATAGTAACAGTATATGTCTGAAGACAATTAGCTTTTTACAATATATACAATTGAGTAATTACACTATATACAAATCTTTCAACTGACAGTCATCCAACTTATACCGCCTTCTCAGGTTTAGGAATAAATTATCATATCCCTATCAGTTAAATGATTTAGAGTGAGTATTTAACGCCTGCTCTTTTAAGGCAATGGTTGATAAATTGAAAGGGAATTAGATTATTTTTGAGAATTTTGATAAGGATCAAAATTTCGCGTTGTAAATCTATTGTATCTGTGCATATAGTTTTAATTCGTTGTATTTGATTAATTATAGTATTGTTAATTACTTTTTTGGATATGTTGGAGTTCCAATTTATTAATTTGTTAGTATTGAAATTGAAGTTTCTTGTTTTGTCAAAAAGTAAAATTTTTTTTGTAGTTAATGATTTGAAGATCTAGAAAGTCTATGCTATTTTGTGAATTATTAGTTTTATTAAGTTTAAGACAATTCGGATAAATGTCGGAGTTTCAATTTTACCAAAATTATTAATTGTAATAAGGTCATCAATATATCTGTAGGTGTGTTTGTAGTAATTTAACTCTTGTGGTTGTAGATTTTTTTGGAAGTTAAATTCTTTGACAAATAAAAAGATATTACAGATCGAGGTGCTGGAATGTAAGCCCATTGGCAATCCTCTGACTTGTTTAAAAAGTTGATTTTGAAACTTGATGTAGTTATGAAAAAGTGTGCAATTTAGGTAGGTTTTCCATTTGTCAAGAGTCATGATATTGAGTATATTAGGGAAAAGTTTTGGTAGATCAAGTAGACTGGTATAGATTTCTTCTAGAGGAAGTGAGGTATATAAGTTTTCAAAATCATAGCAGTTAATGTTTTGGATGTTAATGGTTTGAATGGTATTAATGACAGGAGTGTTATTATGAATGATCCAGCAATAGTTATGATTAGTGTTACAATCATTGAAAATAAACTTACAGATTTTATTAAGTTGAATTGAAAAATAATAGTCTATATTTTTCTTGTAATTATTAGTTCCATTAGCTATAAATCTAAATTTTAATGGTGTTTTGTGGAATTTGGGAATCGCATAAAGATTAGTAAATCTGTTGTAGTTTGCATTGAAAGTAATATTGAGTTTCTTATGAAAAGTTTTAATCCTGATATACTGTTACTATACTGTTACTAAAAAAATGGGCCTATTTCCTACCTTTAGACTGTCTACTAGCTCTTGGACAGCGAAAATACCTTTTTCCTTTCTTAAATTCTTAATCATTGCGACACGACAATTAGCCAGAAATGAATTAATTTCCATTCACTAGTATTTTCGAAAAAATCTTAACAGACGGTCTCTCTCAGATAAGAACTCCACAAAATACATCCCTCAAGAATTCCAAGTCCCACCCACTACCATAAATTACTTCACCCAAGTCTTACCGACTGATATTATTCAAAGCCCCTACTGCCGCTAAGAATTTTCGGACACCCTACACTTCTGAGTCAGACACGAAGAGAACACTTTGCCAACTCCCCCACTAGAAAGAATG